CAAGTACTTACTTTCTGAGGTATTTCAGTCCCAGATTTGGCCTACCCCAAAGCATTGCTCTTCTGAAGAGAAAAAGACCATTTGCCCAGACTTAACCCCCCCCCCCCCCCCCCCCCCCAAATAAATAAATAAATGAGGTTTTGGGTTGGATTGTTTTCCAGAGAATTCAAGTCTTGGTCTTTCAAATATCAGGAAAGGCAGCAGTGGCTTCCTTCCAATATGCAATCTTTTTGCAGGCACCTAGAGAACCAACAAAGGGAAACTAACCTGAGGCCAGGAACTTTGAAGATTCTCTCAATGGCAGGGGGAAAGAGACTTATTTCCCTGTCTAAAACGTCAGTGATGGGACAACTTCTTTGTCTCTATGCTCTTGCCATATCTTACAAAAAGACACATTTGGAACGGTATTAGGCATTTGCCCTGGGACAAGTCTTTGAATATGTTGAATTTCCAGTAAAGCAGAGGCAAATGAAGCAACAGTGCTGAAAAAAGCTGCTGGTAAACACCGTTTAAAAGTTGATTTAATGTAGATTTTGCATTTGGTTTGTGTGCATGCTTAGAATGGCCTCTTGCCTGATCACAGATCTCTAAAATAAGAGACCACAGTTAGTATTTTTAGGGCAAGAATTTGGCATTAACCATATTCTATCAGCTACTATGACCAGATAATACCTTTGTGGTCCTTAGGGTGGAAACAGATGTCATCTCATTTATGCACAACTTGTGAGCAAACAGACATCATCATTACCCTTTGATGTGCCACAAAGGAAAATCAGTAACACAACAAAAGGGCCAGAGTAATAGACTCTGTCATTTTACTGCAGTGGACTTCTATTAGCTCTGTAGCAAGAGAACAGAAAGCCTGATCCACTCACACTTTCCAGCAACCTTGGGCAAGAGCTCTAGGGGCTGGAGGGCCACTCAAGCCTGCCATAGCACCTATCCAATTGCCCCATTTACAGAGAAGCACCCTAGGGAATCTTAGGGTGCCTTTCCATAAGCAGGAAAGCCCTGCTTTTCTGGCTCAGCCAGAGCCATCCCCCGTGATCACAGGGGATGGGTCTAGCTGAGCAAAGAAAGTCGTGCTCACCCAAAACCACCTGCAGAGATCACATCACCCCTGGTTCTGCCCTTGATGTTGCAAGATAAGGGGCATGTGTTTCTCCAAGTGAAGGGGATCAGATGATCTGCTTCATGTGATGACATCATTTTAGCCTTAGATAAATGTAGGTCTTCATATAAAATTCTGAATCCACCTCAATGATGAATTAAGTGACTTAGTTCTTCATAAAACAAGGGAAAACTCCACATTTTTTCCACTTTATAGATATTTTTGTAGCCCCTCTGAAATTACATTGCCATCTGCACTGCTTCCAGTTTAGGAGATGGGTTGCTTAGAGAAGTGCTGTCTGCCAGAGGATGCTACTGCTGTGAACAATAAGATTACCATGTAGACACAGCTTAAGTCAACCCGCTCAAAACACTGTTTTTTCTTCTCTCCTCTTAAAAAAAATGAAAGCTTCTAGGAATAAGTTTCTCTCATGAGAAGTTTTAAGACTTAGTGTTGTCCCTTTAGAAAGTTATTGTCCACAAAATCCTGCATAATTCCTGATCCAAACCCTTGAGGGAATTGCCTTTGCAATGATGGTACCAAGGATGCTGAAAACTGTGTGCAGGCAAGTATGCTGCATGAGTCTCAAAAAAAGTCCCCACTTTTGAACTCCTACTGAACCACAGAATTAGAAGAACCAGATGCACCCCTTAGAGATGGGCTCAACACTACCCTGTCAGATGCAATATGACCACCTTTATTCCCAGAACACTGAAATGCACTTGTTGTTCCTTGACATAACAGGCCCCATGATTACTGACTTCCATGCGAGTTCTCTATTCCTGGCTGGCCATCCCCATTGTCAAAGTGGAAAAAAAAATCAACATGCCATGCATGGATCTGAGACAGAGCTAGAATAGGCCCAAAGAATTTGTAGTCCCAGAGTAGGCTCTTCATATCCATACTCCTCCCTTTCTCCCTAGTTTGCACAGTGCCACAATGCTGCCTTGCACAGGAACAGCTGGACTGTCCCCTCAGTTTACATAATGACATTTTGTTTGTTCATTTGTTAAAAGAACTGGGGGCATGATCTAAGCCCTTGAGAAATAAAAAACCTATTTTTTTCTGATGCAACCACAGATTTACTTCCTATTTGTAAGTCAGCTGAAAAGATATTGCTATTATCTTTCACTATTTGACTGTCAAAGTCAAAAGATATACAACCAAGAGATAGAAAAAAGGAAGGGAAAAAGTAAAAATTGTATATAACACGTTTAGTATTTAACACAACTATTTAAAAAATAAAAATTGATTTCTTTGACATAATATATATCATTACATGCCTTAGTCCAATTTCATATAGAAAGACCTTTTTGTTCATACAGTAGTAATAGAAAAGCAAAGGCAATGGATTTTTTTTTTTTTAATGTAGGACAGTTTTTCCATTTGTACAGAATATATTTACTGAACCAATACATTTTATATATTCTGAATTCGATATTTTACCCAAAAGAAGCACTGAGATTATAAAGATAATCTTTATAAAGTAATAACAGAAAGCATACTTATTCCAACCCAAAGTTTCTATATCTCTGATTAGGTGAGAGTAGTATTCTGGAGGCGGTGGTGTATGCAGGTCTTCTGTGTTCTTTAAAGCAACTTCCTGTTTAAAAGAATATTAAGCATACCATTAAAAGACCAAAGAATATAAATGGATGTAAATATTGGAGTCTGACAATCTTCTACTTCATTCAAAAACATTAAGTTTATCTAAAAATTAAAAACAATGTAGCATACAGTTGTTAAAGCCTCCAGTTAAAACAAACAAAAAAGCAGTTTGGTAAACTGCTTCAGATAGCGGCAATGAACACATCTGCAATTAAAAAACAAACAAACCCACAGATGTTGGCAGCACAGTCTTCACATGCAAATATCAAGTGTGCCTCTTTTTTTTTTTTTTTTTTTTAAGTTAACAAATTTGAAGTCAAGTATCTCAACTGAAAAAACACTTTAAAAGAAAAGGTCCCATTGAGTCCACAGGTGCCTCTTGGGTTCCACAGTCACAAAGGCACATCCTTACTGGAGGAGAGTATGAAATCCTTCCATATCTTTCAAAGATAACTGCATACAGTTTCTATAAACAATCCAAACCCACTATTTCTTAGTTTTAATATCAGGTAGTCTTGGGGTATACATCTGAGGACACCTAATCACAGTCTATACTCAACACCCTAACAGGAGAACTTTCCTATAGCCAAGTTTCACATGACAGAAAACTATGCCATATTTTCAATGCTCATGTCATTTCATTCTGATCTGTGATATTCATTAAGAGTATGTTAAAAATAATAAGAAACCACTATTTGGTTTAAAGAAAAAATAAAATGGAAGTTATATTTTCAATGGAAGCTGTTCAATAAGACTCCTGTCAGGCAGTCCTGCAGACTTCAAAAGTAAGAAAGAACACAAAAGTTTGCAAGTAGACAGTGGCCAAAAAAAAAAAAAGACTCAGGAAGAAAGTAGAAAAGATGTAGAGAGGCAGAGGGTTAGTGTAGATGAGAAAGCATAACCAAACCCTTTGTCATGTATAAGGGACTTTTTCCTTTTGAGTCAGTTGTAGGACAGTTAGAGGAACCCAGTTCAAAGAAGAACCAAGATGGATCAATTTTAAGAATAGCTCTATACAGAAAGCAGCACACTGCCCGGAAAGTTTAGAATATGCCAAGAAAAAGTATCTATAATGAAATAGTTTTCCAAGCATTAAGATTAAAATTAAAGGGACTCCCTCACAATTGTTTCTGTCCTTATCTAGTTTTCCTAATTTTTCTTCCACCTTAAAGTGAAACAATTTTTAAATGGTGTCAAACAAAGCAAAGACATCTCACTAGTTAACTTTAAAATTGACCTCAACCACCAGGACACTAAAAACCACTCAAATAAAGACTTTTCACAAGCAATTTGTGGGAAAAAGTAGTACATTTCCCAAACTCAAAGGGACAACTCTTATCACTAGAAATGTGCAATAAAGTACTAATTGGTGTGACTGGGAGGGAGAATATTCTTTTGCCAATTTGAAATGGCTGGCTTAGTTATATGGTGGGGATTTTCAAACAACTGATGAGACATTATTCAATAATGTGACTGTGAAAGAAAAACAGTGATTAAATACTATTTTAGTCACAATACCATATTTTCTGAGTTAGACTCCCCATTATAATTAAGAGATTGTCTTAGTTACTTTACACTGGCTCTGAACCACTCAGTGTTCTGTAAAAGACATTAATAACTAATCAAAGATTTTCCAAAAAGCCTTAGAGGTAAGTACTTCTTTGCATGGCCTGGCATGCTATACAGCAAGCTGAAGCTAAAACCTGCAGCAAGATTGTTGGACTCAGCAGCAATCTGCAATTTTTAATTTAGATGAGCTAAAAATTATTTATAACAAAAGATGAGATTCTGAAGTCTTCAGAATCATGCAACAAATGAGTTCCTGCTTATAAACTGTCAGGCACAAAATTAATAACTTTTTTTTTTCATTAGTAGTAGATAGAATTAGTGATTTTTTTCTTTACAAAAGCATCTAAGGACAGACACCTTTGTTAAAAATGTGTCATTTACTTTTTAAAATGACAAACTGGAAATACTGACTCCATGTCCAAGTTTTCCAGATGTCCTCCACTGGCTTACTGTTAAACTTTACATAAAAGAGCACCACACATTTATTTTATATCTCCCCACAAATAACTTAACATTCTCAATTTTTCCCTCTAGATGTAGGAATTGTCCACCTGTTCCAATGCTTATTATCTGAAGAATATTCCCAGAAGTTCAGGAGCCTCATACCCACTCTACTTCAAGAGAAGAGCAACTCATTCTTTAGGCTGCATCTTCTCTCAGAGTAAAAACCTACATGTAAGGTCACGAGAAACACACTATATGCCAAACTAAAACTGATTGCACAACAAATTATAGAGGAGTGTGCAAAAATGAAAGTGCTCAAATATTCAGCCAACAGCTAATATTTTTTGTGTGAACAATCTGTTCCAATTACCTCACACATTCTCCTCCCTCACCCTTGCTTATATAAAAAAAAAAAAAAAAAACTCTACTAGGTCTTAGAGTAGCAATGGACAAATGACTACAGAACTTTACTATCCTATAGGCAGTTCTTAGCAGTAGAAAGAACAGAAGTGACTTTATAAAGCATGAATCAGAGCCCAGATTCAGACTAAATTCTTAGTCTGAATTTAATGTTAAATATATCTACTACAAGTTAACAAACTTAAAATGAAATGTGTATATTACACACACACTATATACATGAATACAAACGCTTTGTATTTAAATACTTCCGATATATAAGGACTAGGATGTAACCAGTCTCTTTTCTATTTTAGATCTTCAGCAGCTGACTGACAGGAAAGGAGAAATATTTGTTCTTCAATTCAAGTTCTGATGAGAAGGCTGTCTTTTCATTACTACAAGGTGTCATCCAAATTTACTATTGACATAGTTCAGTAAAATGGCATGTGTACAGGCCACCAAGAGAGAGGTATGACTGAAGTCATTATCTCATCAGAAACAGAGATAAAGCATGCCTCTCATTTCTGTTAAAAAGTATTCACCAGGGAATGCAGCCTTGATGATGACTAATAAAGTCTCCATAGGAGAAGGTATGTTCTTATATTAGAATTAAGTGGATGTGTGAAAATATAAACACATCAAGCCTACATTTGAACTGCTACTGCAGTGCCATTTGTTAGGTAGCTACGTATCCCTTAGACGCTACTTAGCTCTTGGTAATTCACTCCAAGTATCACAACTTTCTAACACAGGGGTGGGGAATTATTTCAGCTGGAGGGCCACTTAATGGGTTTTGGCAAGCTGTCGAGGGCCACAAGGGTAGCTATGTGCCTTGGCAGGTGCCCTGCCCCCTGGTCACCATCCTGGGACCAGAAGTCCCGCCCCTAACTCATGACCTGTTTTTAAGCACTTGGAGGAGAAAAAGGTGATTAGAAACCATCAGCATGGATTCACCAAAAGCAAGCCATGCCTCACCAACCCAATTGCCTTCTATGATGAAGTGACTGGCTCGGCTGATGTGGGGAGACCGGTGGATGTGGTGTACCTTGATTTTAGCAAGGCTTTTGATACAGTCTCTCTCAACGTTCTCACAGGCAAGCTAAGGAAGTATGGGCTGGATGAATGGACTGTAAGATGGATGGAAAACTGGCTGAAGCATCAGGCTCAGACAGTACTAATCAATGGCTCAATGTCTAGTTGGCAGCCAGTATCAAGTGGGCCAGTCCCAGTCCAGTTGGCAGCCCCAAGGATCAGTCCTGGCGTCAGTTTTGTTCAATATCTTCATCAAGTTGGAAGATAGCACACAGTGCACACTTAGATAACTGCAGATGACACCAAGCTGGGGGAAGTGGTAGATACGTTGGAGGGTAGGGCTAGGATTCAGAGGGACCTAGACAAATTGGAGGACTGGGCCAAAAGGAATCTCACGAGGTTCAACAAGGACAAGTGCAAAGTCCTGCAATTAAGACAGAACAACCCCATGCACCAGTACAGGCTGGGGGCTGACTGGCTGGGCAGCGGCTCTGCAGAAACAGACCTGGGGGTTACAGCGGACAATAAGCGGAATATGAGCCAACAGTATGCCCTTGTTGCCAAGAAAGCTAACAGCATACTGGGCTGCACTAGTAGGTCTGCTGGCAGCGGGGCAAGGGAAGTGATTATTCCCCTCTATTTAGCACTGGTGAAGCCACATCTGGAGTACTGTGTTCAGCTTTGGGCACCCCACTACAAAAAGGATGTGGACAAATTGGAGAGAGTTCAGAGGAGGGCAACAAAAATGGTGAGGGGGCTGAGGCATGTGGCTTATGAGGAAAGACTGAGGGAACTTAATAATTTAGTCTAGAGAAGAGAAGACTGAGAGGGGATTTATTAGCAGCCTTCAACTACCTGAAGGGAGGTTCGAAAGAGGACAGAGCTACACTGTTCTCAGTGGTGGCAGATGACAGAACAAGGAGCAATGGTCTCAAGTTGCAGCAAGGGAGGTTTGGGTTAGATATTAGGAAGAATTTTCTCACTAGGAGGGTAGTAAAACATTGGAACAGGTTACCCAGAGAGATGGTAGAAGCTCCATCCTTGGAGGTTTTCAAAATCTGGCTAGACAAAGTTTTGGCTGGGATGATGTCACCATTTTGGTTTTGGATTCCTTGACATTGGCATAAAGTTCAACAACACTGCTCTGCGTGCAAGAGATGGCGCCCACCTCACGAGCAGAGGGAAGAAACTCTACAAGAATCATCAACTTGCTGAGGAGGGCTTTAAATTAGGCATGTCTGGGGGAGCAAGGGTAGATTTCACTGCTGGGCATAAATCCTCTGGCCCAGATGACTCAGGGGAGGCTATTCCTTTAGGGGACATCCAAATGAGTACCAATGCCTCGAGACACCTGCACAGTGACAGAAAACCTAAGATGACTAGGGGTGAACTCCTGTGTCATAGATTCATAGATGCTAGGGTCGGAAGGGACCTCAATAGATAATCGAGTCCGACCCCCTGCACACGCAGGAAAGAGTACTGGGTCTTCCCTTGGAAGCCCATTCCAGACCTTGGCCACTCGAACTGTGAAGAAGTTCTTCCTAATGT